GCTTTAGTAAAGGGGGCATATTAGAGGTGTCTGCCTAATTAGGCTTAATACTATTCTACTTACCTTTTCTCTCTCGCCTGCGCGCATCCTAGATACTATTATCACTATTATCTATTCATACACATCTCTTCTACTTTCTCTAGGCCATCTGTTGCCTAACAACTTTTTTATAGTATTAAAAGAAATCCTTTCTAATTATATCTTATTAATTTAAATAAGGAGTCTATCCTTTACTCTATTAGTAAGAATAATAATTATAATATATAATCTTATAAAGGTTCTAATATAAAGATTAGTAATATTATAACTCTTAATAAGATCTTAAATAAATTCTTTAACTATTAAATAGTTAAAATAATATATTTTAATTAATTTCTTAAAGTTATAAGATAGCCTAATAAATACTTATTAAAATAGTATAATAAAAATTATTTATATATATTTATAATAATATAGATATCTTAATCTTATTTTAAATATCTTTATTAATTAATAGTGCTAGCTAGAGCTTTATATAATATAATATATAATCTTATTTATTAAATTTATAGAAATTCTTTATTAACTTAAATATATCTTTATAAATAATATTCTTTAGGTTATTAACTTTAAGAACTTACTAGATATAATTCTTTTAATATTTAATATTCTCTTTATCTTATAACTTCTTAATAATATCTAGAATAAGTTAACTATTTATAATCTTAATTACTTAATTAATATCTTTAACTATTAATATAGCTGCTCCTTATTAAATAAACCTTTAATTAATTTTATTTCTATTATATAGGCCTATTAATATCTAATTTATTAATTAAATAAGTATAGATTTTTTAAATTTAATTATTATTAGTTTTTTAAATATATTTAGCCCTAGAGAAACCACCTATATTACTTATATTATCTATTACTTTATAGATATTAATATTATTTAAATAAGATCTTAAATAAATAAGAATTTATTAAATATAATATGCTTTATCTTTTAAAATAATATATTATTATATTAGTCTAATAGGCCTAGAAAAGGGAAGAGATAGCTAATAATTATTATTACTACTATAGCTTAAATATAAAGTAGATAGTTATATAGTATAGCTATACTAAATAAAGTAATACTAAGCCTAATTAGGTGAACACCTCTAATAAATAGTAATTCTTAAAATTTAATATATTAAATTATATATTAATTCATATATTAAATAAATTTATTTATTATGTTTAAGACTCTTTAAGGACTTATCTTCTTTTATAAAAGTTTTTTAATACTAAAAAATTATAAATCAAAATAATTAATTAATTATAAAAACCTATATAAATATTATATATATAATTATTAATTTATAATATTAATTTCTATCCTTAATAAAAATTAATCTTATAATTATAAAATGTTCTCTATAATATTTAAAGTATTATAAAGAATATTATTATTACTTTAAAATATAGATTATATAAAGGCTTAATTATTTATATTAATATTAATTATATTAATAATAATAATAATAAATTAATAAAGATATATATTATAATATTTATAAATATTTTAATTTTATAGGCTTTATAAAAGTAAATATTTAATCTTATATTAAGTATTATTATTTAATTTTATATTTTATTATAGATAATTAAAAAGATTATATAATTAAAGAAATTAATTATTATTATAAAGATTTAAAAGAAAGATCTTATTTTTATTTATATTAACTTCTTCAATATAATAAATATTCTTAAAAAGAATAGATTTAATATAATAATTAAATAAATTAATAATTATAACCTTTTTGTTTATAATATAGTTGATAAGAGATTAATTAAGATTAAATAAATCCTATTAATAGTCTAATAAAGCCTCTAGATTAAGTAAAGTATATTATATTCAAAGAATTAGTTAATCTTTAAAAAGTAGCTATATTAAACTATATTAAGACTCAATTAAATAATTAATAATTAATCAATAAATAATCTTTTTTTCTACTATTATATATTTTAATTAATATTAAATAAAAAGATTAGCTAATCTAAATAGGTGCTTAATAATAAAAGATATATTAAAGATATATGCTTTATTAAGCTTAATATTATATTATAGTAACTATTAGCTATCTCTTCCCTTTCTAAGCCTGCTTAGCCAATATAATATGATTTACTTCACATCCTAATTTTTATTTAATTAATATATATATCCTAAGTAATATTAAGTCTGCTGCGCAATACCTATGTGAATCATCTAGGAATATAATAATTACCCCTGATTATATATAGGATTTGTTGATTATTCTTCACCTAAACCTCCCTATTAGAACCTTTATAGACCTCAATTGAACATAATCATCTGTTAAATGATATACTTACTCCTCTCCCTCTTTTCAAATTATTCTATTCGAATTCTTTCCAACTTAAATCCCCATTAATAGTTCTGTAAAAAGAAGAATATTAAATAGAATCAAACTGGAATCAGGATACTAGGAACATAATCCCTCAACTGTGTTGAATTCATACTGATGCTATATACCCATTCCTCACAGGTCTATCTCACCTGAATATATAAAGTCATCCTCTAAAATCCACACTAATCCATATCTTCCATCATATCTTCATCCAGTTGGAATTCGTTTCCTAATCCCTCAACAAGTATCGGACTCCCCTTCTGCACTCTATCAATGGTCTTCTGCCTTCTTTGCATATTCTGGATAAACTCAGCGGTTGATTCAAGACCGCCATTATTTTCCCACAAGCTGCTATGTAAGTATCCCAGGGCTGCTTGCTCCTCGAGCAACTGTTTCTGTATGTGTTCTTCTACAGAGACTGGAAAAGGAACGGATTTTTCAGTGAAACGCAGCATTGATGACCGGGCAGCACTTCCCGATTGCACTAAACTTCCATGCAAAGCCCCGGACATGATGCATCGTATCACAACTGGCTCCGGTTCTTCGCCTACATCAAGTCTGGCAATGTCTGTCATGTTGAGAGCGGCGAAAGTTTTCCCCAAGCTTAAAAGTAGATGGCTGTGGAAGGCATCCACTATTTGATTAACTAGGCCGCGATTCTTGTCCTATCCGTTTGTAAGAATCCGTTGAGATCCAATAAACACCTGTAGGAACCAGAGACTACCTACCGAAGACCAAACTTTCCGATATTTTCCAACAGTATCTAACATCCTCTTGGTGTCAAGAGCCTCAAAAGCATCCGCTAGATCAACATACGGCCTTGCAAGTGACCGCAGCAGCTTTTTTGTATGGAGTGTAACAGTAGTTGGCAGAGCAGGCAACTATAAGATATAATTGTCAGCAGCTAGGAAGTTAAGAGAGCCTGCGATAAGTTCTGCTATAAGTATACCTTTCCGTGTTCTTGCAGACTAGCTAGAATCTGCTTCTTATATGCATCCACCATGATCAAGCTGATAGAGCTTGTCACTGGGATAGATACCACGATATTTAGGAAGTGGAGTGCATCCCCCCATCTCTTTAGAACCATGTAGATCATTGCACCATATGAGAAATATTGCAGATAGTCTCTATAGGTTAAAACATTGGAAAGTGAACTCTCTGCAATGGTAAAGGTTGGTCTCATTCTATGTTGCAGGCTGGCAACTGCCCTTTGCTTTGAATAGATCATCTCGGTACTTTCCGGGATGTTGCAAATATGCTTATCCATTATGGGCAATGCTTCAATATGGGACTTTGTCTGTAAACAGAGTTGCAGAAACATAACATGTGCTGGAGTAAGATATGAAGATGAAGGATCAAGACGAATGATCGCTTCTCTAATTAACTTGACCGCAACGAATGGCTTCTTTAAGTTAGAAAATAATATGGTGTATTAAGTATTCAGTATAAAAAGCCACACTGACCTTCAACACTGCGTTTGCAGCAAGCTTCACATGTTCGAGCAGCCTACACCACTCTGGACCAACATAACTTATTTGAAACGGGTCGAAGTTCCTCAGGAAGAACACAATCTTGGCCCACAGAGCTTTCCCGGGAAACAAATCCTCTGGAAACTTCGTCTTATCCCTAGTCTGTGTGAAGAGAATTTGAAAGTGCAACATGAAAAGGTAAGAGACAGAATGTATAGAAGGATCAGGCCACTAGATTCGGATAAATTAATATTAGGACACTGAGATCAGCCAGGAACCAGGAGATAAGAACATAGCATGCAATATTACAGGAGGACAGTGAGACTCACCTGCGATTGATGATCAAAAGATATGCCAGAATCAAGGGTGCCCAGTAGCTGCCTGAGATAGGCTACCAGATCACAGAGCTGACTATCATAGTCATCTTCTAATGTAGATTTTGAACATAATTGTTTTGCTGGCACTGAAAGTAGGCGATGATAGAGCTCTTCCATTTTATACTTTATACTAGGTATGAAGTTGTATGAAATTGCAGGTCGATAGGTCACTTTATACCTAGGTAGGTAATTAGGAGTTGGTTAAAGTAGGTAGGGAAGTAAATACGTCACTCCAATTGGGCCCAACTCTATTACTTAATTAAGTAAGCTGTCAACACCCTTAACTAGTTAGTGAATACACCAAGTGCTTAGTAGGTAGGTACTCTGTACGGAGTAGTTAACTAACTACTAACCAATCCGTAGGTAGTTACCCCATTAGTTGCCTCTAGGTATGTAGTAAGGAAGTATTCCATACTAGTTAAGTGGGCGGAGTATTTGTACGGAGTGGAGTACATTGATTGCTAGATTCAGCTAACCATCAACAAATATATACGGCCCCACATACCTACCTAAATACCTATTCTATCTAGGTAGGTAGATATGATTACTTCATGAGAAGTACTCCAATCAAGCTTCATTAACATATGAATCTCTTGTTGGACAGTTCCTAAAATGCAATACCTATATCACCTTCTCCCTTGTTTCTATTCTTGATGTTGTGCTGATATCTGTATGAAGCACAAAATGGCCAGATTGAATGAGCCTATTGGACATCCAGAATCAGTCGATGCCCGTAAGTCTCAGGTTCCACGGCACATCTAACATCTAACTTGGCTCGTAATACTTATGGACTTCCAGTTAAGCGTCGCTTTGTGAGACAAAATCGCGAGATTGCTCGTGTCAACTCACTCCAGTCACTACGAATTCGAAGTCTCGAGTCCGAGGTTTCCCACCTTCTAGCCGAAAATGTGTCATTACGAGAACAAAATATAGCTCTGAATCAAGATATCGCGCGGCTAGAGGCCACCAGCTTGCTCCGTGCCAATATTGATAGTGTGAAGGCAAAGTTAGAAGCTAAATTAGGAGAGTTGAACGACTTGGTTCTTGATTTGGTCACGATCCCCCAGAGGCTTGGAAAGAAGCCTGAAGACATAGCGACGTTTGATAAGGAAGAGACTAAAACATCAGCCCCAACCGGTCATGCGGGAATTTCGGATTGGAGCGCCGGCGAGCAGAGTCGCCTCCCTCCTATTCTCGAAGATAAATGCTTCCCGAGGAACACACTCGAGTAAGTGGAGGAGAAAACTAGCTTGCGTTGAATAGACGGGCTAAATGGGCCACAGTGTACAAGATTTCCAAGAGCTCCTAGAAGATGGCCAAAACGTTCCCCCGAATCCGGGTTTCAAGTCCCCCCAACTTGAGCCACACGCTCCTACTGGCGAAATATATGAGATTGAATTACAAAAGCAGGGTGATGCTTGTAACAACTCTATCGATACTCCGGGCTCGGATGAAATGAAGGAAACCGTCTTCGTTGACACGCCAGAAATACAGGATGAACAGATGAACATCTCTAATGAAATTGAAAGGGGATGGGCTTCCTTAAACTCTCAATCTTCCAGTTCAGATACTGGTTTTCCTCCCCCGAAAGCGGGTTCAAAACGGAAATATGACCCTGATGAAGAAGACACTGCGCCAATCGCCATCAGCACCCATGGCGATTTCAAATTCAGCCGACCAAGTGGCTCAGGGCGGAATCTGGAGGACGTTTTGGTGCAGTTGAGTGATATGAGTACAAGTCCACAAAGGTTGCAGCTAGCCTCCTTGGAGGAACGGAGTAGAAAGGCTTTAGGACCAAGTACGGATTCTTACAGTCAGTTTGGTATTCTTTGCATTCAACTGACAGCAAGCAGAAACAGCAAATTCCCACTTGACCTCACCCAGGAAGCTTAATAGTGACGCAAAAGAACCAGATCGAACCCCTCGCGGCAGAAAAAGGAAGACTGGCATGAAGGAGAACAAGATATCGGGGAATCAAGACTGCCGAAGTCTGGACAAAATAACCTCCGATGATATCCTTGAGATTCTCCAGGAAAGCGATGTACATTCAAGAGAGCAGATTGAGAACCAAGAAATATGTGGGTTTTCCGTTGAAACGCAACCCAATTCGTCTTCTCCTAGAGGATACTGCCGATCAGTGCCGGATCTCGATCTGCAAAGCGTCGTCTCTCGACCGAGTCGCCGTCAAAGGTCAGTTATGAGTTACGCAGAGCCGAACCTGAGAGACAAGATGCGAAGACCTACGAAGGCATTCGTGGATGCAGTTGGGGGTCAAACGGAGCGAAGAATATCTAGTTCTCAATCACCCCAGGCATGGATGATCGACGAAGGGGCCCAGCAACGCAGTGGGAAGGTAAGCTCAGCACCGGGACATCAAACATCAATGCAATGGGGCACGGCTAATGGCGCTATGTAGAGGTCAAGCGATATCTCGAACAACTCCTCCGCGCAAGATATGGATTTTGTGTCTCGGCGAAAACGCGGAGCGGTTTTAACAAAGCATGGAGAATCGCTCGAGACACTTGAGGGAACTAGGACAACAACTCTAGATGATATAGGCGCCAATGTTCGGAAAAAGTCGGCTGCGGAGACCCGGGAACTTGTGCTTGGGAGAGATACTACACCAGCTTCGGACAGCCTGGTCACAGCAGGCATCGAGGACGATCATATTGCACATATGTCACCTAGAAATGAGAAAAAAGGGGCCAGAAGGCAATCTCGAAGGCACTCTTCGAAACCAGCATCGACCGACAGTGTTGAGAGTCTAAGACGATTGAGACATCCACGGGCAAATGAGCACACGGGTCAGATCCAAGAGGTTGGCAAAAGCCCCGAGGATAAATTCCGCATTGAGGGGGCGAAGATGGATTCTGATTCATTTCTATTTTCAAGTGGTGCACCCGAAAGGGATACGATACAGGCTAGGCGTGCATCACGGGTACCCTCACGGCGAAACAGTATGATGCTTTAGCCACCTGACCCTGCTGTGAATGCAGCCTTTGCCCGTGCAATCCTTAATCAGGGACTAGCCTCAGACTACTTCACTTGGGCTCTTAATGGCTAGGTTTATTTATTAGTAGTTTATAGGCATTGGCTCTCTTGTTTTATAGAAGCATGTATTATGTAAATATATATTAAATATTGGCTTTTTACTTGACTCGTTCATTGAACTGTTGGTGTTTTAGTGGCTAAGTACTTGACCACTGAAATTATTGCTATGAAAAGATATGAATGTTGATGTAGGAAATGTACTTTAGTTACTCTATTTTCTAAAAATCCTGTTGAAACAGATAGTAGCGGCCTCCTAGAGTGTAGGGATAGGTGAGTATAGCAATAGATCTAGCATAAAAGAGGTAATATAATAGTATTTATAAATAGTATATCAGAGGTGTGTGCCCAATTAGGCTTAGCATCACCTTATTTAGTGTGGCTATACTATATAACCATCTACTTTATATTTAAGCTATAATAGTAATAGTAATTATTAGTTATCTCTTCCCTTTTCTAGGCCTACTAGACTAATATAATAGTATATTATTTAAAAAGATAAAATATACTATATTTAATAAATTCTTATTTATTTAAGATCTTATCTAAATAATATTAATATTTATAAAATAATAAGTAATATAAGTAATATAAATAATATAAGTAATTCCCTTAAGGCTAAATATATTTAAAAGACTAATAATAATTAAATTAAAAAAATCTATATTTATTTAATTAATAAATTAGATATTAATAGGCCTATATAATAAGGATAGAACTAATTAAAGATTTATTTAATAAGTAATAGCTATATTAATAATTAAAGATATTAATTAAGTAATTAAAATTATAGATAGTTAACTTAATTTAAATATTATTAAGAAGTTATAAAATAAAAAGAATATTAAATATTAAAAGAACTATATCTAGTAGATTTTTAAAATTAATAATTTAAGGAATATTATTTATAAAAATATATCTAGATTAGTAAAGAATTTTTATAAATTTAATAAATAAGATTATATATTATAATATATAAAACTCTAGTTAATACTATTAATTAATAAGAATATTTAAAATAAGATTAAAATATCTATATTATTATAGATATATATAAATAATTTTTATTATATTATTTTAATAAATATTAAAGAAATAAGTATTTGTTAGGCCTTTTATAACTTTAAAAAATTAATTAAGATATATTATTTAAATTATTTAATAATTAAAAAATTTATTTAAGATCTTATTAAGAGCTATAATACTACTAATTTTTATATTAGAACCTATATAGGACCTTATATTATAATTATTATTTTTATAGATAAAGTAAAGGATAAACTCTCTATTTATATTAATAAAATTAAAGATATTATTAATAAATATTTAAATATAAATAATATAATTAAAAAGGATTTTTTATAATATTATAATAAAGTTAAAGATAAAGTTAATAAATTAAAAA